CACACTTGGGCGATTGTTTACTAGGGCAGTGAGGGCTGACTTAACGACACGGTTAGTCCTTTCCACCATGCCATTTGCTTGTGGATGATACCGGATCGTATAATGATTTGTTGCATGCATTAGTTTGGTGAGTTCTTGAAAGAGATTGCTGGTGAACTGAACTCCGTTGTCAGTCTGAATAACTCTGGGCGGGCCAAAGATAGTGACCCAATGGTCCATGAATGCTCGGTGGACAGCTGCTGCGGTGGTTCTTCGAAGCGGAACAATCTGCAAATAGCGGGAGTGCTGGTCTAATATGGATAGAGCCCAGCGAACTGGCACACTAGGACCAAAATCCATTATGTCCATTGATACCCTTTCCAAAGGAAACTGTGCTAATGGCGTGTCTGCCATGGGGACCTTCTGTGCATTGCCTCTAGATTGCTGACAGGCCACACAGCTTTCGACATATCTACGGGCATCTCTCAGCATGTTTGGCCAATAAAACATGGACCTCGCATTTTGGAATGTCCGTGTACACCTGGATGTGAAGCGGGGAGGCAGGTGTGATGCCTTCAACGCAGAGTTCTTGAGGCTTTCCGGCACGACCAACTGGTAGCAGATTCGGTCTGAGAGGTGTTTCAGCCGATATAGTACACCGTCTTTCAACTCGAAGTCATTCAAGGGCAGGGGTAGTTTCTTCTTAGGAAGTGTTCCATCCGTTAAGTACCGTCGAATGTCAGCCAGTTGAGGGTCAGCTCCTTGTTCTTCTGCCAACTTTTCAGGGGAAAGCTCAGTGATAGTTAGCTTGGCAACCTGTCGAGAGAGCAAGTCGGGAACACAGTTTGCAGGCCCTTCTTTGTATCGGATGGTAAAGTTGTAGAAGGATAAGTCATGTGCAAAACGAGTCATCCTAGGGGATTTGGTCTTCCGGGAGAAAACGTATACAAGCGGGCGGTGATCGGTGTATACTATGAAGTGGCGTCCATAGAGATAGGAGTCAAACACCGAACACCTTCCACAACAGCTAGGGCTTCAAGGTCAATTGCAGGATATCGAGACTCAGGATCACGCAATTTCCTGCTGTAGTAGGCTATGGCATGTGGAATTTGCTGGTTGTCTCTCTGGATCAGGCATGCCCCAAGGCTATACTGGATGCATCAGTGTGAAGCTCGAATTCCCGATTGAAGTCAGGTTGACGCAGGATAGGTGCTGAAGTGAGCTTCTCTTTGAGGGTGTTGAAGGCAGCTTGTTGTTTTGGACCCCAATTCCAGGCTTGTCCCTTCTTTAGGAGATGTAGAGGCGAGGCAATGGTTGCATACCCTGGGATGTGCTTCCTAAAGAAGCCAGTAGCTCCTAAGAAACGGCGAACTTCTCTCACAGTGCGGGTGGTGGCGTCTTGGAGATGGCTACCACTTTCTCACGGTTGGGCGACACACCCTCTGGGGAGATGGTAAAGCCCAAAAAGTCTATGGTGGTAGCTGCAAATTGGCACTTTTGGAGGTTCAGCTTCAGACCCGCCATAGTTAGGAGCTGCAGTGTCTCATCAAGATCTTTGAGGTGTTGAGAGAAGCTTCGGCTGTATACTATTACATCATCAAGGTATGCAAGTGTATGACGCCCCAGCACAGAAGATAGGACAAGGTTCATTGTTCGCTGGAACGTTGTTGGTGCGTGGACAATCCAAAGGGGAGTCTCCTGAACTGAAAGAGGCGGTAGCCGTCAGAGAAGGCAGTCTTTGGTCTGTCTGACTCCTCTACTTCGACGCTCCAGTAGGCCGCCCTAGCATCCAGGGTAGTGAAAATGTTCATTGGCCCCAGCTCGTCGATCATCTCACTAATATGGGCAGTGGGTAGGCGTCCCGTTTGGTTACTGCGTTGAGTCCGCGATAGTCGACACAGAAGCGCAGTGTACCCCCCTTCTTCTTTACGAGGACTACCGGGCTTAGCCAGGGCGATGTTGATGGCTCAATTACACCAGCATGGAGCATGGAGTCACACTGCTCCTTGATGGTCTGGCGTGTCGACTGAGGCAGCCTCCATTGTCGATTGCAGACTGGGTTGGCATCACCAGTCTCAATCTTGTGCTTGATGCCAGGCACTAAGCCAACTGTCCCTTCATCACCATCAAAAAGATCCTTGTAACGACTGAGCAAGCCTGTGAGCTCAAGGCGTTGGTCTTCTTCCAGATGGGCAAGGTTCAAGGAAAGGTGGTCGCTGTTGTCTCCAAATGCCTTAGATCCTAAGGATTCTGCAGCTTCAATTGTAGCAAGAGCGGATGAGGGTGGTAATTCAGCATCGAGAATGTCCAAGTCACTGCAACCAAAGTCCTGTACTCCATAAAAGCTGTCAAAGTCATCATCTTCCCACTCAAACTCTACGTCCTCAAGCATGTCGCCCCCTTGAGAGCCTTCCTCAAAGGCGTTATTGCTGGTCCTGGCAGCAGGTTCCACAGGTGGGTCTTGAGGTGGTAGGTCTGATGAGTCGGTGGCGTATACAGCTTCTATGTATTCTGCCGTGCCTAGGCGAGTTCCATTGTGGAGGATGAGTGGCCGAGAAGAAGGATTCACAGCCCACACCTGACATTGTCGTTCCTTGACTGTGGTGATGGAGTATGGTAAGTTGAGGGCCTCTGCAACTGCTGGAGTCACCAGGATGTCACCATTGGTAGGACCAGTACGCGCAACACAACCATGCAGGAAACAGCCAGAGTGGGGTGGGATCTCTGTACGCTGGATGAGGTGCACTGCAGCTTCCACTCGAGGCTTCTGTCCCTGATCAATGAGTGGAACCTTTTCCTTGTTAATATCAGCACCTACACTGGCAACCTTCTGTGTTGTTGGCAGGATGTCGGTGCTTGTGACAGGACAGACTCCAAGGGACTGGTGGTCGGTGTACACGACTGCAAAGCTCCTCCCCTCGAGAACAAGGACAGCCTTATTTGTGGTGGCACAGTGAGAAAGAGCGAAGTCAAGTCGTCGAAGAAGATCCATTCCTATGAGAATGTCGCCTGGAAAGGAGATGTCAGCTTCGGCAACTTGGTGAGAGACGGTAAGTCATCATCCAGGTGAAAGGAAGGGTCAGCTCCGAGGTAACATGAAGAGGCTGGCCTGTCACCCCTCGAAGTATCTTTGAGGAACTTCTGCTTCGAGGTCTATGACTGGTATCCATCAGGATGGCAGCAGAAGATTTAACAAGGGTGGCTTCAGATCCGGTGTCGATGAAACATAATGTGTCCTGCCATTAACACTGAGTTCCACGAGAGGTCTTCCCGTAGAACCCATTGCACTCACCACGCTGATCATTGACTCCGTCTGTGTGCTGGTTGTAGTTCCTGCTCCCTGCTGCAATGCTGCCAGTTGGGCTGGGAGCTCTACCATTCTGGCCAATCTGAAAGGGACATTCCCGGGCTAAATGTCCAATCCTCCGACAACGAAAACAAGTCAAGCTTCTGGTGGTTGTGGCTCTCATTGCGGCTGCTGCTGCTGCACGACAATCTGAAGTTCGGTGGTGGTGGCTGTGATGGAAGTTGCACCATTGGGTTGGAGCAGGGTGTGATGGCATCACCTCATCTTGCTCAGTTGAAACAGGACAGGAGTACAAGTCACGGTTGCGAGGTGGACGGTCTGGGTAGTGACGTCTCTCCAAATGGTCACCCACAGGCAAGTCATTCGGAGACTGGTGGCGTGTAGTCGATTCCCTATGCCTTATACCATTTCGGGAATTCCAGACTCTTTGTGCAGCCTCGGCAAGTCTTGAGGGTGGGCAGTCTTCCTTTAGGGCAGGAAATCCCTGAGCCAAGGTGGAATCCCAGACAGGAATACACGACGTATCAGCTCTGAGGGGTCACCTATGGCTTCCTTATGGTCCCGGTATCCTTGGTAAACCGAACCCTCCAGCTGTTGGTAGAAGTCCATGGGAGCCTGTCCTGCACTCATTTTGTTCTCATAGAGGACCTTGTAAAAATCGGCTGCTGTATAAGTTCCTCGAAACTTGGTCCGTAATGCTGTTTTGAAGGTGTCCCAGTCTTGCATGTAATCAAAGAGTGGAGAATTGATTATGAGGTCTGCTGGGCCTCGGCAATTTGCACGCGCAGCTTGAATGAAGGCTTCACTTGTTGGTGGTTTTACCAAGTTTTCTATGGAGCGTACCCAGCCTTCAATCTCTTGGTTTTTCTTCAAAGGGTTTGATGCTGACGTATCCCCCTTGAAGTGAGGGATGGATTCCCGCGCGAGGACATAGGACACATTTTGGGCTGTCCCCAGGGGCAAGGTGGATCTCCCAAAAGGAGGTTGGCAAAATGGAGGAGCACTCGCATTACCTGAAACATGTTCTCGTGGTACACGTTCTGGCGTAGGTGGTCGGCTACGTGGAAGAGGTTGGGGTAGATCACGTATGTCCCATGTTCTCGCCTAGAAAGCTGAGGTGCTGGTAACTGGGAGGATCTTGCCTGATTCCTCCTCCTTTCTTCCTCAAGCTCCCTTTCCTTTTCTTCAAGCTGTCGTCGTAGCCTGGCAATCTGTCCATCTCTACCTTGCTCTTCCCGAGGAGGTCTTGGACTGAGATTCAGAGCTTCCCCTGGGTTGGGCTGACCAGCCATTACATTTTGGTTAGGCACTCCCTCCTGCTGACTGGTCACTTCTGCCTGCTGACTGGTCACTTCCACCTGCTGACCCGATGCCTCTTCTTGCCTAGCAAGCCGCTCGGCGAACTGGTGGGTCTGCGCCTTCACATCCTTCAAGTCCCTAGATAAGGCCTCGATCTTCTCCAGGATTTCCGTAAACAGAGTCATCTCACGGTCCATCACTAGCACGGCTTGCCTTACTTCAGGGTTTGACCCGTGAACAACGACTGGAGGTTGTTCTGCAGAGGGTCCTGGCACTGGTGACGAAGCACGCGAACTGGGCTGACTCAATGACTGGGCTTTCTTACTCCGAGTAGTCTCTCTTGCTTTCCGGGCATGGCCTAGACAATGGGCATGATATGCCAATCACACTGAACACAAATGACACACTTTTGGCA